AAATACATATTACGAAATGGACAAAGTCCGACAATTATTTTAAGTCATTTTTATGTTTATACATTCTTTTTTATAGATACAAGTATTTAAGTAAATGCTCTGTTTATAATAAACAGTATTAACAACATTTATCAGGCTGAATGTCCGAGAAATTGTCATAGAAAATATGTTGGAGGATGCATATTTTAAATTCATGCAGTTTGGGAACCAGTGAAAGTAGCTTGTTGGAGCAGTTACCGCGAAAGTATTTGTAGAAAAGACAGAGGTAAGCGATGGCCCGTCTGTGAGAAAGTGACTGTAAACGAGATGCAAGACCAGGACCAATCATATTGCATATCTGTCTCTGGATTTTATCGAGAACCTTGAGATGAACAGCAGGGGCACCAGACCATATATGGCAGCAGTATTCCATGCAAGGGCGAATGGTTGATTTATAGATTTGAAGGATGGACTCAGGTGAGAAAAAATTTCTGGCGTGACACATAGAATCAACTTTCCTTGCGGTAGATGAAATTATTGATTGTATTAATTCAATAAACTTATGTTAAAAGTTAAAATGTGTGCTTCTTTTAAGAAATTAAAAATATTATTCAGATTGACTCAGGTAAAGAGTTCTTTTAAATTATTTGTTTGGTAATATTTGATTCGGGTTAGTTTCAGGTTCTTACAGGTGGTCAGCATTCCTGGCATGTAATGCACACTGGCTTGATTTGTTAAACCCTTTTTTTCCTCCTGTTTAAATTGCCTTCTCTTGAATTAGAGCTCGAGGAAAAAAATAGGTTAGACTTTCTTTCATTATCCAGTTTATATTCTAATCATTCCTTTCCCACAATATCCCACAATGCAGCCAGATCCTATTTCCGTTGACTTCCTTAGTGATCCTTCCTGGGACACCTCGAGGCAACAATGTCCGCAAAAAGAAACATTAGTTGATTGGATATAATGATTTTTACATGGCAAACAACACAGACCTGTTCACGCATGCTTGTTTGGGAATACTCTATAGAAAAGCTTAATATTCGCATATATAAATACTTACATGCGTATATGTACGAATGGGTTAGGATATATGAAGACATTAAGGGTTAAATTATAATAGATATATGGGAATAAACTAATTTATTAATTCATATACACAAACAATTTCTTTTGTTACATTTCAGCAGTTAATACATAGTGGGCTTGCTCATTAGAGCCAAACAGGTATTTGTAGTTTTTGAGTCCCCGGAATGATTTTCAACTTCATTTTGAAATTGTATTAAATTTTGTATTTAATCTATTTAGGTGTATTTTGTTGGGATATTTTTAGTGACCAAAATTAATACAACATCACTAAAAAGCCTACGAATAGAGGTCTAGATCATAATGTTCTGATAAATACAAGGAATGTTATATCGAAAACTGACATACATTTGGACATGTTGTACGTTCACAGAAAACATTAGCATTTCAGATACACAGTGGTCTCAGACAATAGATCCAAGTGAATTTTTGCGATGTTTGTATAAAAGAGAAAGATTAAAACACATTTCTCATAAAAAAAAAAAAAAAACGAGGAGACACGGTGGAGTAATGGATAGCGGCTCGGATAGAGGAATCGGAGTTCGAATTCCAGTCGAATCCATTAAATTCACGTGCTAATATCCTTGATATGAATTCATTCTTCTCCCCTCCCCCATGGGTAAATAGCAAGACAGGCCGGGTTCTATAACCTTGTCTGGCAACTGGTCTACCGTTATATATATATATCATAATAATTTAAAAAAAAAAACAGGAGTTTAGGTCTAGAAAGCGTGGACTGCAGTGAACAACAAAAATTCCTGAAAAAAGAGCCAAGTGGATTTTTGCGATTTTTGTACATAAGAGAAAAATTTCACATTTCTAATTAAAAAAAACAACAAAAAAAAAAAACACGAGGAGGCACGGTGGAGTAATAGATAGCGGCTCAGATTAAGGAATACCTTGAGAAAGGTATGAATCCTCTTCTTCTCCCCCAAGCTATGGGTAAATAGCAGGATATACCGGGTTCTATAGCTTTGGATGGCAACTGGTCTACCGCAGAAAGAAATGACAACCTACTGCGGTAAAATATCTGCTTCGTCAGTCATGTATGGAAAGATCGCCCTAAGCGTGTATCTCGCATGACACATAACTGAATTAAAAAAAAAAAAAAAAAAAACCCCAGGAATTTAGGTCTAGAAACAGTGGACTGTACTGAACAACAAAAATTCCTGAAAAAAAAATTAAATTTTGTATTTAATCCATTTTGTATGTATTTTGTTGGGATATTTTCAGTGACCAGAATTAATACAACATCATTAAAAAGCTTATGAATAGAGGTCTAGATCATGATTTTCTGATAAATACAAGGAAAGTTATATCGAAAACTGACATACATTCGGTCCTGTTGTACGTTCACAGAAAACATTAGCATTTCAGGTACACAGTCGTCTCAGACAATAGAGCCAAATGAATTTTTTACGATGTATAAAGCCCCTAAATTAATTCTAGCTCAATTAAGGAACTGTATTAATATTATTTGTACATAAGAGGAAGATTAAAATAAACACTTTTACATTTCTAATTTTAAAAAAAAGGGGGAGTTAGATCGAGAAGCCCTGGTGTGAAGTGTTGAGCCAAAATTCTCGAAAATAGAGTCCATTTTGCATTTAACTTATTTACCTCGCTTTTACGTGTGACATTTTTAGTACCCAAAATGGATTCAGCACACTCCCTCTCACACATAAAAGATATGCGGAAATAGAATTCAAGATCATAATTAGGATATATGTTATATCGAAAACTGATATTCAGTGGCCAGGATATGGCGCCAAATGATATATCGAAAACTGATATCTAGTGGCCAGGATATGGCGCCAAATGTTATATCGAAAACTGATATCTAGTGGCCAGGATATAGCGCCAAATGTTATATCGAAAACTGATATCTAGTGGCCAGGATATAGCGCCAAGTGTTATATCGAAAACTGATATCTAGTGGCCAGAATATGGCGCCAAATGATATATCGAAAACTGATATCTAGTGGCCAGGATATAGCCCAAATGTTATATCGAAAACTGATATCTAGTGGCCAGGGTATAGCGCCAAATGATATATCGAAAACTGATATCTAGTGGCCAGGATATAGCGCCAAATGATATTTCGAAAACTGATATCTAGTGGCCAGGATATAGCGCCAAATGTTATATCGAAAACTGATATCTACTGGCCAGGATATAGCCCCAAATGTTATATCGAAAACTGATATCTAGTGGCCAGAATATGGCGCCAAATGATATATCGAAAACTGATATCTAGTGGCCAGGATATAGCGCCAAATGATATATCGAAAACTGATATCTACTGGCCAGGATATAGCCCCAAATGTTATATCGAAAACTGATATTTAGTGGCCAGGATATGGCGCCAAATGTTATATCGAAAACTGATATCTAGTGGCCAGGATATGGCGCCAAATGATATATCGAAAACTGATATCTAGTGGCCAGGATATGGCGCCAAATGTTATATCGAAAACTGATATCTAGTGGCCAGGATATAGCCCCAAATGTTATATCGAAAACTGATATCTATAAGCGTGGAAAGAATATGGCCAGTTATAAATGATATATCGAAAACTGATATCTAGTGGCCAGGATATAGCGCCAAATGATATATCGAAAACTGATATCTACTGGCCAGGATATAGCCCCAAATGTTATATCGAAACTGATATCTAGTGGCCAGAATATGGCGCCAAATGTTATATCGAAAAGTGATATTTCGTGGCCAGGATATAGCGCCAAATGTTATATCGAAAACTGATATCTAGTGGCCAGGATATAGCCCCAAATGTTATTTCGAAAACTGATATTTAATGGCCAGGATATGGCGCCAAATGTTATGTTTTTGATATAACATTTGGCACCATATCCTGGCCAATAAATATCAATTTTCGATATAACATTGGTATATCCATAACCATATCTAAAAATATCAATTTTCAATATAATTTTGGCAACATATTCTCGACATATGGCGCCAAATGTCATATCGAAACTGATATTTAGTGTCCAGGATATGGTACCAAATGTTATGTCGATAACTGATGTATAGTGGCCAGGATATGGGCCAAATATAATATCGAAAACTGATATTTAGCGGCCAGGATATAGAGCAATTTATTGTATGAATGGAAGTGAATACATTTAAAATATTTAAATATTATATATATATATATATATATATATATATATATATATATATATATATATATGTATGTATGTATGTATGTATATGCTGGCCTTTCGTATTCGAGGATACTTGTCTACTAGGGCGGCTACCCAATCCATGTTGCAGACGCTTGCTCAGGCGCGTTTGTGTTTATTCAACACCCACAGAGTCCACTTTATACTGCAACTATGCTGAGCAGACCTTAATTACAGTGTTTGGGAAAGAACGTTTTATCTACCTCGATCAACAATTTGAACAAGGCCACCACGCTCAATCCCTCGGCCAAGATGACTTGTGACTTCGTGATAACACAGCTATCGACGGTTCTAAGTGTTCCGTCTACCCAATTTCACTAAAAAAGTTTAGGTCAACCCGTGATATGGTTTTCAGGCACTTTCCACACGTACCGCACGCTAGGATCGAATAATTGTGGGTTGGATTTATAATGGCGTAATAAAACCTTCTTTTCTTCATTTTGAGTTTTGTTCTAAACCGAAATGAAGAAAAGTATAGGATGGCAGAACAGAACATCATTCATGAAGTTGATCCTCACTTGGTGGCCTATAATTATTTCTGTGTAAGAATATATAAATATGGCTAATGGCAATTTAGAGTAAACAGGAACACTGACTAGCTTCTTGAGTCGAGAGTAAACCGAATCGGCGTCTACATTTATTGTTTTAGAGTAAAGCGGAATAATTTTCAGACTCTTTTATAAAGTTTCTGATTCTAGTGTAAACCAAATTACCTTTTTTAAAAATCTAGGTTAAACTGTGCTGTTTTATTAGTGGGGATAAGATTTTAATTTCAAGGTAAGCATGCCTACCTATTTGATACGAGTATAAACAGACTTCCGTTTTGACTAGAGTATAAAACGGACAACCATTTTACCGTGTAAATTGAATTACGTTTTTATATCTAGTTAAAACAATAGTTCATTTTCACTATAGTGTAAAACGGACGACCATGTTACCGCTCGTGTAAATTGAACTACGTTTTTGTCTCTAGTCAAAACAATAATTCCTTTTTCACTATAGTGTAAATCGGACAACCATTTTACTGCTCGTGTAAATTGAACTACGTTTTTGTCTCTAGTCAAAACAATACTTCCTTTTTCACTATAATGTAAAACGGACGACCATTTTACCGCTCGTGTAAACTGAGCTACGTTTTTGTCTCTAGTCAAAACAATACTTGCTTTTTCACTATAGTGTAAAACGGACGACCGTTTTCACTTTGGTGTAAACTGGGCTACCTTCTTGACTCTAGTGTAAATAATACTTCCACTTTCACTATAGTGTAAAACGGACAATCATTTCATGCCTGTATAAACTGGATGCCTGTTTGACTCTACTGTATACCAGACATCCTTTATTACTAGAGTGTAAAATGGACGACCATTTTCACGCTCGTGTAAACTGGACTACTCTTTTAACTGTAGTCTAAAGAATACTTCTATTTTCACAATAATGTAAAACGGACCAATATTTTTACTCTCGTGTAAACTGAGCTACCTTTTTAACCTGTTGTAGATCAGAGTATCTTTTTTACTTTAAAACAAATCGGATCTACGTCTCGCTTTCTCTTAATTATTTATGGGTTTTGTCCTATACGACACATATTTGACGTTAAAGTCGATATATTAATCATCCTTAACTAATCTAGACTAAGCTTGGAAAATATCGATAATGCAGGATGTGTATAAAGTCTTTATCTTTTTTTTATCAAATACATTCAAAATACATTCAAAATACATTCAAATAAAACCATTGTAGAATAAAAGATGAGCATCAATGATTGAATTATCAATAATCTGGTTCATTATTTCGCCCTTTGTTATAATTTCAAAACAGAAGCATTCAGGATACTTTTGTCTTCTGCACATTTTATACGTTAATTTTAACTGTCCAGAGTCGTACTCCTTGTTTGGTAGACTTTCGATTTCATAAAGGATCTCCCAGCATAACCGATTTAAAATCATGTGATGATGTTTTCGTAGGGGACTGTTCGCCCCGGGCATTTAACACCCAGAAATGACACTCACTTGGTTGTAAATGAGCCTGCCACTTCTGTCCGATATAAGAAAAGTTCTAAAAAGGAAAAAAAAAGCCTAAAGGAACATTTGGGGCGTCCCAGGCGACAATTCCCCGAACTTTACGCGAGATTTGATGCAAGGACAATGTCCGGTTTTGTCGGTATAGAGCATACATAAAGTAAAGATCGCCGCTCGAACACTTGGCGCAATAATTAAACACGAGTAGATAACATGGAGGCTATTGGCAGAATGACTCAATAAATTCCTTGGCTAAAGGCTGCATAACAGATCATCTAATAGACGAGAATACCGAATCAGAAAGGAGCCCAGAATGCGACTAATTAATTTGAAAGAATTACACTGGACACGAAATAATGGCAAAGTTGCGTGGATAAGAATTACGCAAGGATTAAGACTAAGTAGTAAGACTTAAAGCTTTTTGCTTTATTGATCGAAGGGCATTCAACCTAAAAATTTATGAAAAATAAAATAAGATGAACAAAGCTAAAAATTAATACTGAAAATACCTCATGTAAGTGATTTCTTGAAAATAATACGCACCCATAAATAATACGCGCCCCAACAAATGATCCAAAAATTAAGAAATATATCTACCCCTATGTATAATACGCATCCATAAATTTTGTCAAAAAAAAAAATAATTACGAAGACATTTCGTCGACCCTGAACTTATTGTAAAATGGATTCAGGAATCTTGTGATTCCGTTAGTGAGGATGTTATGAAGTGAGATTTCAAGAAGTGTTGTCACATGACAGCCATGGATGGTTTTGAAGATGGCATCCTTTGGCAAGAGAATGAAGAGACCGAATATAATTTTGAACAGGACTAAGATAATATTGTGAACTAGCAGCATGGCCCGGCATTGCCCGTGCTTGATTCAAAAATCGTACGACTTATACAGCAATCGCTATCACTTGACTTAAAATATATTTGCCCTTCCTTGCCTTTAAAGGAGTGCCCTTTGCCGTGCTGATGTTGCTACATGCCTTACTTCTTGCCTATCTCACCCCTGCGAATTTTTTCTAAGCTCTATACTAAACATTAAATCTGTAGAAAAAAGAACTAAACAAAATGAATACAAAACGATCAGCTTTAAAAAAGGACTCGTAACTGGAAAAACCGAATGAAAAAATTTTAACACAACAAATACTTTTTAACACCCAACCCAGTTCTGCGGAATCAGAATCAACGTTGAGTTTAAGCAAGCGAATGAGCCAATTGGACTAAAAAAACAACTGCAGATTTAAATTTTTCCCACTTGTGACGAATGCAACTATCGATTTTTTTTTTTTTTTTGCATGCTAGCATGCTAGTTAACATTCGTGTCAGTCAGCTGTTGGCTCTCACTCTGGCCAGTAGAAAATGGCCGCAAACATGAAAACTGCCGTAGAAGCATGAAAAAAATCGATTATTTCCACTATCGATGGGAGTTGGGAAATGCAAGGTCGGTCTTGGCCTTCCCGCTAATTTGGAGCATGTGCATGTAAATTTTGGTGAAAATCCGTCGAATATTGCGGCCGTGCATTCGTTGCACACACACACACACACACACACACACACATACACACATCCTGCCTTTTATAGATAGAGATGATAATTTGTTTAATGACAATTTAGATATTGATTCTCTAATAGAAAGTTGTGGTGATGATGAAAATTAAAATTTCAATAAATTGTTAACTTGATATCCTCTTTTCATGGAAATTGGTCTTTTTATGGATTTTTTATTTTTTCGCCAAATAAAAGATGCGGTTACTAATGAACATAAATTTATTGACAAAAAATGTTACAATTATTATTGTTGGATTTAAAATGAAAATTCAGATATCTTTCTTAATTTAGAACCAGTACGTATTTATTATTATAAATCAATAACGAAAATATATTTTTGTTTAAACCGATTTATAATACGCACCCCTACTATCACCTGCAATTTACAGTTAAAAAATGCGTATTATTTTCGAGAAATTACGATACTAATTTATATTGTTTTAATTGTATCTAATTTTATAGTAGTCTTAAAATCGTTTCTTTATATTTTTCTCTTGAAGACAATTTACGCGAGTCATATTCCGTTATATAATTTTGAATAAGAGGGATATTTCCGTTTCAGTAAATGAATATTGAATTCTTAGCAATTATAACGTCCATTTTGTCGTTGATATCCTTACCGATGTACACACTAACACACACGTGTGCAAGTAAAAACGGGATTCACGAGCACATTTGCGCACAGGAGTATTAATTTACACTCCAGTCAAGGAACCTACGCAGCTAAATTTCCTCTTTCCTTCCGTTACCTCTCAACACCCTGTCGTCACTAATCACGCCTCCTAACGGCAGTTCACGCTGTCACGTGTCCGCTGCCAGCCAATGTACCTCCCATCCTTCATTACTGTCAACGCCGTCGCCAAACTTCATTGTCTCCGCCTCTAATTCAAATCTCTTAGAGATTTTCTTTCTATCTTTGTAAGCATTTCTTTTTCCTCTTTCGTTTTTTTTTCTTTCTTTCTTTTAAGCTTTCTTTTTCCGCTATTGTTTTTCTTTCTTTCTTTCTTTCTTTTTCTTTTTTTTTTTCTTTCTTTCTTTCTTTGTAAGCATTTCATTTTCTTCTCTCGTTGTTTTTCTTTCTTTCTTTCTTTGTAAGGATTTCTTTATCGCCTTTCGTTCTTTCTTTCTTTCTTTCTTTCTTTCTTTCTTCCTTTCTTTCGATCTTTCTTTCTTTCTTTTTCTTTCTTTCTTTCTTTCTTTCTTTGTAAGCATTTCATTTTCTTCTCTCGTTGTTTTTCTTTCTTTCTTTGTAAGGATTTCTTTTTCGTCTTTCGTTCGTTCGTTCGTTCTTTCTTTCGTTCTATCTTTTCTTTCTTTCTTTCTTTCTTTCTTTCTTTCTTTCTTTCTTTCTAAGCATTTCATTTTCTTCTCCCGTTGTTTTTCTTTTTTTTCTTTCTTTGTAAGGATTTCTTTATCGCCTTTCGTTCTTTCTTTCTTTTTTTCTTTCTTCCTTTCTTTCGATCTTTCTTTCTTTTTCTTTCTTTCTTTCTTTCTTTCTTTGTAAGGATTTCTTTTTCTTCTCTCGTTGTTTTTTTTCTTTCTTTCTTTGTAAGGATTTCTTTTTCGTCTTTCGTTCGTTCGTTCGTTCGTTCTTTCTTTCTTTCTCTCTTTCTATGTTTCTTTCTTTCTTTCTTTCTTTGTAAGCATTTCATTTTCTTCTCTCGTTGTTTTTCTTTCTTTCTTTCTTTCTTTCTTTGTAAGGATTTCTTTTTCGTCTTTCGTTCGTTCGTTCTTTCTTTCTTTCTTCCTTTCTATCTTTCTTTCTTTTTCTTTCTTTCTTTCTTTCTTTTTCTTTCTTTCTTTCTTTCTTTTTCTTTCTTTCTTTGTAAGCATTTTTGTTTTCTCTCTCGTTTTCTTCTTACTTTCTTTGTAAACATTTCTTTTTCGCCTCTCGTTTTTTTTTCTTTCTTCCTTTGTAAGTATTTCTTTTCCCTTTCTCGTGTTTTCTTTCTTTCTTTTCTTTCTTTGCAAGCATTTCTTTTTCCACACACCCTTTTTTCTTTCTTTCCTTTAAGCATTTTTCCACTCTTGTTTTCCTTCCTTCCTTCCTGCCTTCCTTCCTTCCTTCCTTCCTTCCTTCCTTCCTTCCTTTGTAAGCATTTCTTTTTCCTCTCTCGTTTTTAAGTGTTTTATCTTTCTCTTTTTAAAAGATTTATTTATCCTATCTCTCTCTTTCTCTCTCTCTTTTTTAAGCGTTTTCTTCTCTCATTTTGTTTTACACACTCCTTTTCTTTCATGTCTTTCTTAAGCATTTTGTCTCTGCTCAATACGGCTTCTCCTTTGACCGTTGAGTGCGGTCAGTAATTAGATGAGAGACCTCTTGGGAACACTGGGCATTGTAAACAAACTTCCACAATCCGAAATGCTTCACTTTTAAATAACCCAAACGGTTGATAACCCGTAAAAAAACGAATCACTCATCTTTACCCTCTCTCTTTTTAAGTATTTTCTTTTGCCTTTCTTTCTTTTTTAAGCATTCCTCTGTCCTCCCTTTTTTCCTTTTAGAATTACTTTCTCTTTTCTCTCTTTTGTAAAACACCCTCTCTTTTTTTTTTTTGCTTTTTGATTTGATTTTTTGAGACTACATAACCAGATTTAATTTAGAAAAAAAACAACAAAAAAAAAACGCCACTTCTATAAGAATTCCAAGACATCTTTTAATTCCAGCATCGTCTCGGGAAAGAGGGAAAGCTGTGCATCAAAAGGACATTAAGGCCCGTTTTAACAAGGTGCTTTTTGGTTTACTCCGAATCATCTGGAATTTCAAGCAAACTGTAACGGAACTTGCCGAAATTATACGTAATATTCCGTGTACTTTTGAACATCTTTGGGCATTATCAAGAAAAGACGTAAGAAAGACGAGAGATAGTCTGTGTATCTATACATTGGTAAGGGCCCCGAGTCTAAAACGGTCGTAGTTTCACTTATTCTGGTGGTGAAATAGATTTTAGCTCTTAAAGAAACTTGTTGAAATTGCGTATCATGCTCTGGGTACATTCGACGATCTTTGGTCATTTTCAAAAAAAAAAAAAAAAAAAAACTAGGATGAAGAAGAAGCTTGGAAATGAGGAAGTTCCACACAGATTCTTCACCAGAACTATCGCATTGTGAAACGGACTCTCGAGAGAATGCTTCCCCGTCCACTACAATCTTAATCCATTCAAATTTAGGTTGAACTGCTATCTATCCTATATGTCCTCATAAAATGTTTCTTCTTCTTACCCCCTTTCAACGGATTACTTCTTCCTCTTACTCTCTTTAAATATCTGCCAACCGAACGATCCTTTGTGGCCGAGCGGTCAAGGCACGTCAGCGTAAATGACGGTTCCGTATAGGATGCAGGTTCGAATCCTGTCAAAGGACGAATATTTTCTATGAAAATTTCTCGGACATTCAGGCCGGTAAATGTTATTTAATACTGTTTATTATAAACAGAGAATTTACTTAAATACTTGTATCTATAAAAAGAACGTTAAACATAAAAAATGTCTTTAATAAATTGTCGGACTTTGTCCATTTCTTTATATATATATATATATATATATATATATGTACACTGATATCTCTGTAGTGGTTAACAGTGTGGAATAGCGGTTGGTGTTCAAATTTCAGACGTGGTTTTTGCATTCACTTTCATACAAATACTCCCAGAAAGGTATAGATCCATCGCCTTTCTGTCCAGATACATGTTAATATCAGGGCAGGTTGGGCTCCCCACCTTTGGTTGGCAACCAGTCTAGGAGAAGTAGAATTCTGAATTCAAAACAAGGTAGGCGTGGAGGTACCAACTCCACCCTCTAAAGACGTACTTGGTACAGAAACCAAAGCAGTATCGTTATATATAAATAAAGAACAAGGGAATTGGCACACAACATTATTATTTTGCGAAGTGTTTTCATAATGAGGTGTTTTTAGTAACCACGGTGTTGAGAGATTTTATTTTGTTTTGTAGTATATACTGAATCCTGGGAAATTTTTACGTCCTGAGTATGATAAACTACATCCGACAGTAAGGCCTCTAATTGGGAGGTTTTGAGGAGCGTGGAACTACTTCTAATTGCTGTTCTTCTCAGGTCCACACTGACCCGGAGTAGTAGCTCTTGTTAGGATTCCAGTTATGGTTAAATAGTTAACCTGCAAACTGAGATCAAAACACTATGAAAGGCTAAAAATACATACCAGCAATACATTTTCATAGTAAAAAAATTACCGGCAATACATCTTTTATGAAAGAAATTACTAATGCTCACAAGAAAATTAAATTTCAGTATTAAATGACCCATAAGGATTTGATATGCCTCTAAACAAACAAACTGGTCAATTATTCTTCTACTTTTCTGATGTTGACGTGCATGTCTTTTCACAGATTCTTGTCTTTTGCTGTTCTAAGCAACTATGTTAAAGAATTCCTCTTGTAGAGCTCTGAGTGCTGAAGGGTTATATGTAAATACACGAAAAAATACCAACGTCTTTCATATTAGCCGCCTATGAAAGACGTATAACATCTACCAGCCAAACAAGATCTCTGACGAGGAAATTTATAGAAGCTCAGGCAATAGGCATAGTAATAGAAATGGTAATATAAGCCGTTTCCTTAAATGGAAATAATCAACATTCACTGGCTGAGCAGCCAGAGCGACTTTCTATTGAAATATTATTTTCAGGAAAATAGGTTTCTCAATTCTGTTATCGGTTATTCAATATTGATGGAGATTTCCTTCCTAACGTGTTGTTTGTAGTAGTGCGAAAAATCAACAAGTTACAAGTGCTATCTAGTTTATTTGCCACCACTGTTGAAAGTCCTCAAGTGATGTGGTTTCTTTTATTTGGTAGAGATTTTGGTAGATTTTAAGCCCCGCACACCAATTGTAATTAAAATTTCCTGAAAATGTTCATTTTGGTGTAAATTGACATGCTTATTTCGAAAATAACAGTAAAAGTTTGCGGGAATCTATCGTTTAGGCGTTATCGACAATAAAAGTTCGGACTCATTCGCGTCGCGGCTACAGCACGGTAGCCATTAATGGCGTTGTTTACATACGTCTGACTCGAGATGTCTTGCGCAGAAACTTCACTTGTCTTGATTATTGCGCATACAATGCGCAAACTTTGCGCGAAATCAAAAATAGCACGATTATTTACAAAATCAAAATGAAAAAATTCTAGAAAGGAATTAATAACAGCAACAACAATTTTAAGGTTCAATTTTTTTTAATTAAATTTGTGGTTTTAAAAAGCATAAATATTTACAAAAAAAAAATTAACCCTAACCACAACCCTGTCAAAGAAGTTAATAATAATCGAAGCAATTTAAAGCAATATTATTTAAGCATGATTATTTGCAAAATAACAACGACAATGGTGGAAAGGATAACTTTTAAAATTTGTTTTATTATTTAAACAAGAATTCATTATTATTATAACTTCACTATAAAAAAAAAACAACACTTGTCATTGCTTTTCTAAATAATAAATTTCTAAATAAAGAATTCAATAAATGCTTCACTTTCAAAAGTGTCTAAAAACTTCTTTTGGTTTTGCACAGTAACTGAGACGTGTAAGAAGATCAGTAAAAGGGCCTTTAACTAAGTAACCTATCGCGCATGACTGTTCGAGACAAACGGATCTAAACAACGCCAGTAATGGCGGACGGAACCGACGCAAATAAACCCGAATTTTTATTGTCGATAACTCCTAAACGGTAGATTTCCGTAAACTTTTATTGTTATTTTCGAAATAAGCGTGTCAATTTACACCAAAATGAACATTTTCAGGAAATTTTAATTACAATTAGTGTGCGGTGCTTAAACTGCAATTTTACCGAGTATTTTGCTTGTAATTCTTTAGCGCTAGTCCACGATGTTCGAAAAAGGATGGTCCTCGCTAAGACCTACAGGCTTCATTCGCCCGAAGCCACATTGAATCATTGGTCTATTGTAAGACTTTCAAGTTAGGCTGGTCTGTTCATGTCCTGAAGGTTACCAATGATGAAACACTTTAAATTAACATGAAATGGCCCCAGAAGGAAAGAGAAAGTGATGCAGACTGCAAATTACCAGTGTCGACGAAACTGAGCGAAATGGATCTTTCTGGGAGAAAAGCAGAGGACAACTTGAGTAGAAGTAGCGGTTGCATTTAGCGATTTCAGTAGTAAAGTGGTGGGACCTAGTTACCAATCTATCAGGTCATCCCATAAGTTCTGTCCGAATTTTAACTTTTTGTTAAAATGAACGAAATTTAAAGAATATTTTATAATGTCTAATGGAGCTGAACATTATTTTTATGTTTAGATGCATTTAAACTGATCAAATTTTATTTCAGAGAACAATAAAATTAAATTTTTGTTTGATTAAAACCCTGCTAACGTGGGAAGTACCCAAGAATCATTTGCGGCACATAATGCTTTATGAGTTCAAGAAAGGAAACCCAGCAGCCGAAGCGGCTAGAAACATTCACTCAGTTTATGGAGAGGAATGTGTGAATGAAAGAACTTGCAGTTCAGTTGAGTTTGATAAAAAGCTGCTTGAAGCAGCCCTTGAAGAAAACCCTGCTTTATCAGTTGAGGAATTGGAAGTGGTTCTCAGTTCAAACCATACAACTGTTCATCGTCATCTTCAACAACTTTGAAAAGTTCCTAAACTTGGAAAATGAGTGCCTCATGAATTGTCTGAAAACAACCTCAAATCCCGAGTTGACATCTGCTCTTCTCTCCATTCTCGCCAACTTGTTTCACCTTTTTTGGATAGACTTGTGACTGGCGACAAAAAATGGATCTTTTATCGTAATGTTAAGCGTCGTAAACAGTGGCTTGGTAAAGGGGAAGGACCCCAGCCACAGTCGAGAAGGGAACTTCATGGGCAAAAGGTTCTTCTTTCAATCTTGTGGGATCGCCAAGGAATAATCCACTTTGAATTCTTACCACCTAATGCAACAATTAATGCTCAAATATACTGTCAGTAATTAGAGCGTTTGAACCAAGCTTTGAGGAAAAAAAAGACCTGCTCTATTGAATCGAAAAGTGGTGAGAAGATTCCTCATCCACCTTATTCTCCCGATCTTGCTCCTTCAGACTACCATTTGTTTCGTAGCTTACAGAATCATTTGGAAGAAACAGCTTTTGTAACACAGGAAGAGGTTAAAACTGACATTTGTGAGTTCTTCGAATCAAAGCCAAAAGAATTTTACAGTAATGGAATTAGTAAGCTTGTTAATAGATGGAAGGAAGTCATAGATAATCAGGGAAAATACATTGTTGATTGAAGCTGTAATTAAATGTAACATTTGGTCACTTGTTTTCTTTATTCAAAATTCGGACAGAACTTATGGGATGACCAGATAGTAGCAGGCTTAAATTCATCTATTCGGGGTACCAGGGGAAAAAGCTCATCAAAGCAGTTGTCATGAAAATATTTGGTGAAAGGTAGAGAGAAATCTAGTCAGGGACTGAAGTACGACCACAAGATGACCGCAATACTTCCTTAACCAATACCTACTACACAGCAAGACATCGAGGAAGTCGTTGCTGAGTGGCCCTGCCTGTTACGCGGGAGACCGGGGTTCGTTTCCCCGCCGGAGAGCATTTAAACTGTTTGTGCCCCTCGGCGTGGTGTAATGGCTAGCAAGCGGGTCTCGCTAAAACAGTTACAACTGAATAGTGAGTTCGATCCGCACTGAGTGCCACATACTTTCGGCCATGTGCCACATTTAAGCCACGCTTAGAAAATCAATAAGATTTCGATCCTCACTGGTTGCACTATACTTTCGGCTTTGTGCCACATCTAAGCTCCGCCTGGAAAATCTTCATAGCAAGATATCGATTGTTAATCCCATCTCAGTTTTTACATTTTCTTATGGTTATCAAGGATGGTTTGTTCCACTTGTTTGATAAAACCGCTTTTGATTTTAGAGATGTGCAATTTCATATGTACAGAGTGCGAAAATACAATTTCCCACCTTCTATAGTTTGGAAACATAGCGGAATGGTTCCCTGCAATATTACCCATGGTTTTCAATTCAGAGTCGTGCTTTTACTACACTGGCGACCATTAAAGTCTTTAGATTTCAGTCCACCCTACTATAGGGTTAATCTTGATTGATTGAATTGGTCTTTACGGCTTATCAACCTTTCGAGGGTCTTTAGATTTCAGTCCAACGTACGAAAGGGTGCATCTTGATTGATTGAATTGGTCTTTACGGCTTATCAACCTTTCGGAGGTCTTTAGATTTCAGTCCAATGTACGAAAGGGTGCATCTTGATTGATTGAATTGGTTTTTACGGCTTATCAACCTTTCGCGGGTTATTTAAAGCTAGACAGCTTTTTTAAGCTGTAAGAATTATTTACATGTTGTAATGATTCACTAAGACAAGTCCTACTAATTAACCCATAGCTAGAGGGAGAAGTGGTGCATTCAGATTTTTCCCAATAGTATTTTAGCGTAAGTGAATATAAGGAACAAGACTGGAATTGAAATTCGAATCACCGATTTCCAACTCCGAGCTGTTACCCATTACGCCACCCGCACATTCAAAATTACACCACCTGCTATTCCCAAGCTGTTACCCATCTAGTTACTGACCAGGAAGGATATTGCTTAACGATCGTGATCGTTCTAGAACCAGTGTTTCAACTTGATATTGTCATAAGCTGGGTGTGTTAATAAAACAACATTTTATAGGTTGGTAAAAAGACGTAGACAAATTCTTTTTTTACAAATACGCTTAAGGCTTACTGATCACTCTTTTATATATATATTTATAACAAATTAGTAGCGTAATGGATAGCTCCTCAAGTGGAGAAATTGGAGAGTTGATTTTGAATTCCAAGCAACCAGTCTAAGAAAAGGAAAACTGAATTCAGACTAAGAGAGGATTGGACTCTGTCAGGCTATCTTGTCCAAGATTTACTACTACTGCTGCTACAGATGCAGTACATATTGTGCCTGTATGACTTTAATGGGTTATGGGAAATTGATATCGCCATCTTGAACAAATGGCATTTATAACAAAAAGCGGTAACATTTAATTTGCTAACAATTTTTAAAAGTATATTTTAATGAATATTTCTACTTTGTTTTTAATTCATTTTTTTTAAATTGTCATATATAAAAATGTTTCTTTCAATGAAAACTTTTTAATTCATCGTGTTTATATAAAAAGAATTCATATCTGCCTCAGTCAAAATTCAGCCGTAAGTTAGAAAACCTTTGGCGTTCGTAATAATAAGCATTGCTGCCATATGGCATTTCACATTGCTCAAAATTTGTCGAATGGAGCCTAAAACAATTATGGAATTATCTAAATGCGTCAAAATAATTTGTTGAATTAGAGTCTAATGAATTATTTCAGCAAGTGAAAAAATAGTTTGCTGAATTCATTTTCCTTCTTCTTCTTCTTCTTCTTCTTATTATTATTATTATTATTATTATTATTATTATTATTATTATTAGGTTGGTGCAAAAATAATGACATAATAATGTCGTTTTTGACGTATTTTTTAACGTCAAAAAACGACATTATTACGTCATTATTTTTGCACCAACATAATATAAACCTTAGAAAATTATTCAATTGTTTCTCTTATGGTCAGCTGTAGTAGCTTAGTAAACTTAGTATACAGAAAAAGACCCTTAGAAAATAGATGTCTTACTGAAAATGTTT